ACACCTCATATAGGAGTATTTATATAAATAAAGTGATCCGATGATGCACGCAGCACGGTAAAGGATGTGTGGTGTTACACTGCAGACGTTTTAATCCGCTTACAGACGCCGCGTCAAGCGCCGGTCCCCTTGTTTGTTAACGGGATGTTTGCGTCTTGCCCACAGAAATAGATGACGTACTTTCAGGCTTCAACATTGTGCCCCGTGCCTTTAATTGAATATGGCAGCGGCCGTTGCAGCGAACGTCGTTTCACTTGCACGCAGCAGATAGCTGTACTGTGAATAATAGTGTGACCGTTTATTGACTCCCAGCCCTCGTCTTTTAACTTGAAATGGCCCCTAATCGATTAGATATCGTTTCGATGCGTAGGGTGTAATTGTTCCAACTTTGAAGGAAATCACGAAGATAAGTTGTGGATTCTTTTAAGGGTCCACGATTTTGTGCAAATAAGACAAAAAAGCGGTTTTTCTGTGTAAATTCCGCCCAGGTGGATCTGCTTTACCTGCCAGACGCAATAAATATTGGAAGTTCGCAATGTGTGCAGTAGAATGGTCATAGATAATTGATACATCGCGCCGTGGCGATGCAAATATGCATCTACGCGAATGATTCTCTTTCGCAGGCACGTGTGACTCGTCAGAGGGCAACACATTATCTGCATGCAAATTAGCACCATCCTGTAAAGAGCCCTTTGCAATTGTAAAGCATGACGTCACTGGACTCGAGTACGTCATAAAGCTCAAAGAGGTTTTCTTAAAATGAGGCCAACCACTGCCCTACATTGTCGTCGATCACCTTAGCCGCCTCTTGTAGCTAATAGGCCCGTGCCAATGAGCGCTGATGATGGTGACCTCGACTGTGCGTGATAGACAGATGCAACGAATAACAATGGTTTTTCATTACCACAGCCATATGCACTGCCACCTTACCATGCATGCACTTGAAATTATAGAACCACCATCGAGAAAATATGATCTTATTTATTTACAGGACTGGTACAGCCATATTGTGCGTTCACTCCATTAAGTATTCCGTGAACCAGTTTCGCTCGACGATGAATATGAAATCAAAAATCTATGTCGGATTCAATCTTTTCCACATGTCAGAAGGAAGAATTTTAGACCTTCCGCTTTTACGAAGGTACCCTAGATTCTCTCCTTAGTCGATGATATAAGGGCTCTTATCTCACCGATTTTTTATTTGGGGTTTCCATGTGACTAGGTGTTCTGCCCTAACTCGTGTTGCTTGGGAATTATGATGTAAACTTTTGAAGTACAATGCGCTCCCTGTGTTTCTGCCTTTACCTAATTTTCAACGTTCGGCAGGTTTTGCTTTGACG